TAACTATAATACTCAATCATATATCACTTCTAATCTGTTCTTTCCCTCATCTGTTTCAATACAATATACATAATTTATCCAGTTTTTTCTGTCATACCCCCACCCTGATGTCAGACCCATTCTACAACAGTGGCACCATGCAGTATTTGTCCCTTTGTGACTGAGATATTTCATTCAGCATAATGTCCTCCAGGTTCACCCACTTTGAATAATATTGCATGAGTTTCTTGTTTTTCAATGCTGCATAGTATTCCATTGTGTGGAGACCTAGTATTTGAGTTGATTTCACACTGACATTTACTAACCATTACCTTCTTTTTGAAATTATTTGTACCTTTCATTTCTTTGTTATCTCTCTACTAAGTCCTGCTTTCATCTTATGCCCGTTCCCTGTCAGTTTTCCTGTCTTGAACCCCTTCCTCAGTTTACCACCTTGATTTCAGGTGCTGTCTCTTTTACAGGTCTTGCCAGCACGCTTTAGTGTACACATGCATAACCGCTACCATCAATAAAGGGATTTACTGTCAGTAATGGTGGACTAGAGTGTCAAGACCATTCAACAACAAACAGCACGTAATGAGCATCTGTTTGAAGGTATTAAAGATACCAAGGCACTGAGTGAGACAAGGCAAATTCAGAAAGGTTCTACTTTTGATACTCATCTTTTCTTGAATTCTCTAACCAAATGAACAGCAAACATGCACCAAGCAACTCAGATGGAAAATCTGCACTCTCCTAGCTGCTTCTGTAGTCTTTAATTTTATTGCAAAGAGTTACCAAACTCCATTAAGTCTGCATAAAGAGCATTCCAATATTTCCTTTCTCTTCATCTCTTGCCACACTATCATTTCAAGTCTTCCTCCCTAAGTCATTTTAAAAAAAGGGGTGGGAGATCTTAGTAAGTCTCCATTCTTCTAGGTTTACTCACAGGCATTATAACCTTCACATGCAATCAGAATTACATGATAATGAAATATAAATCTAATCAAGTCATTCAAATCACTTCAACTCCACTTAACTTGAAATATGAAGCACAACAAAGAAAATTTGTACTGTTGGCTCCTGAATGCCATTCTTACCTCTCTGCTATATCTCCACCTTTCAATCAGGCCTGAGCAACACAGTAACTATCCTCTCAGACGACCTTCGACCGTCGCGCTCCCCCTTTCCTCTGCCAGGAAATCTCCACCATCCACCCAATCTCTTCTGTACTGTTCCATTATTTGAGGACAAAAAGTAAGGTTCCTATTTTATAAGTTACATCAAAATAATTGTTTTATTTTTTTCCAAAATAAATTTAAACGAATTAAGGATTTTAAAATAGGAAAAGAAGTACTGGTAGAAAAGTTAATTGAATATTTTTTTCTTCCTTCAAAGTAGAGGTCAGCAAACTACAACCTTTGGGGCAAATGTAGCCTGCAAGCTATTTATATAAATAAAGTTTTACTGGAATATAGTCATGTCAAATTGTTTGCATATTATTTGTGAATATAATCTATTTTTATAAATAAAGTTTTATTAGAATACAGTCATGTGTGATTGTTTACATATTATCTGTGGATGTGTTTGATGCTACCCAGGCAGGGGATAAAGGCTATGTAACTTGTAAAGCCTGAAATAATGATTATCTAGCCTTATGGAAAAAAGTTTACTGACATTTTCTTTATTTTTATTAAAAGAAAATATTATAGAAATGAAAATATAGAAATATCTGAATATGTAAAACTTAAGAACTATCACAAAATTGGAGGTCAAATGACAAACTTGTGACAATATTTGAAATAAGTATAATATGCACAAAGTTAATATTCTTGATATATTAAAATTTTACCATAAGTGAGGGAAAGATTTCTATCCAAACAGGAAAAGGAGTAAATTATTTCAGTAGTTAATTGAAAAAATGAAAAGTACAAATGCTCAATTACAGAACTACACAGAAAACAATGTGACAATGTTTTCCATCTTGCTAGTAATCAAAGAAAGGTGAAATTAAAAAAAAATACTTGCTGGCTTAGCTAGCAAACTGGCAAATACTTAAAAAATACAAATGCTCTGAATTCATAAATGTTTACCAAAGAAGGCAGTCTTAGAACCAGAACAAAAAATTCAAATATACACTTTTTGAAGTGATGTAGAAATGTGATGGTTGCAAACCTGGTCAATTCTTTCCTCTTGAAAAACTTCCAGCTAGAAAATGTTCTTTTAAGAATTTAAACATATGGTGGTTTACAGTAACCCAGTATTGGGTTTGTGACCTACTTTTTTCAGGAGACACGTGTGACTTGGACTGTCCCCGCACCAGCCTGCAGGTGGCGCCATCGCCAGCACAGACGCCGCAGTTGTCCTCCTTGGCCTTACTTCCCAGTTGCCGGTCACAGCCCACCGCCTGCCAACAGAAGCATGGGGGTCACAAGTGGGCAGGCAGCCAGGGGAGGTGCAGCACTGGTTACTTCAAGACTCTTGTTTGTGCTGCTTCTCTTTTTAAAATATTCATAGACTTTTTAAAAAATGTTTTACTTTTCCATTGCTTTATTTTTTTTTAAAGTATACTAGTTTATTTACAAAATTTAAATACATTGTTTCTCACACCAGTTCCTTTCCATTTTCCTGAAACTGCTCCCCATCAAACCCCCCACACATCCACACCCCTCTGTTTCCACCCTCCCTTCCCCCTTGGATCCTCATACTCATTCTACAATAATGGTTTTATTCCATATTTGTCCTGGTGGGACTGAGTTAGTTCACTCCCAGATGTCCAACCACAATCGAATGGATTGAGACATTATGGTACATTCACACAGTGGAATACTATGCAGCACGCAAGACCAGTAATTTTGTAAATTGTTACCTAACATGGGAGGGACTGAATGGCCTCGCTTATGAGAACATAGTTTTCTAAATCTGACTGATAGAAAATCCAAAATACAATGCCATTTATAAGATTCTTACACCAAGCCAAAATAATTAAAAGAGAAAAGAAAACAAAAATATTTCTGACTTGAAGCTTTCCCTCTGAACTCTTACTCTCCTATTTATCTTTTTAAGCACATTAAAGAAACAGGATACCGTAGTTGAGATTGAATTCCCTTCCACTACTCTTGAGCAGTGGTTCCAGTCTGGAAGCTGGTTTCTCGCATCTTGAGGGGAGTCACATGAGGAAAGTTATGAGTTGTGTTTGATTTGTGATGTTGTTTTTTCCCCCTCCACAAGCCAGTGTCAGTTGGCCATTAGCCCCTTTTGGCTAACAGGACCCAAGGGCGGAGGCCTTCTCAAGGGTGTGTCTAGAAAGAACATTCTTTAAGTGATACAGTAATAGTTTGTCTATTTACTGTAGTGAATAACTTGGAGTTGCTGTGATGCTGAACATTGTGCCATAGTTGTGTCAAATACTGTAATGGTTACCCATCTTAGACAACATTTGGAGGAGCTTACAAATTGATTAAGGTTTAGAAGCAGGAGTAGCATCCACTTCCTAAAATGGAGGCTCTGGAAACTATAATTTCTATAATCATTCAGAAATTATGTTAATTAGAGAACAGAGTTCAGGTCTTTTGTTCATAGGGTCACTGTGAGTTGTATTCAACTTGACAACACTTAGCCACTGCTGAGTGAGACTAGGGTTGTTATATTTGAAGGAACATTCTTCTACTTTATATATCACTCTGACAATTTGCTGTACTGCGGTAATCTGAGTTTGCTGTGATGCTGAATCTTGTACCATTGGGATGTCAAATACCATAATGGTCTCCCAATATGAATAGTGTGTTTGGTGGAGCTCCCAGGTGTAAAACAGGTTTGGAAGCAGGAGGGGCATCCACTTCCTAAACCACTTACCTATGGAAACTCTATGAACTTGGAGAAATCTCAACAATTATAGAAAGGCATTAGGTCTTTTGTTCATTGAGTCGTTATGAGTCATACTCGACTTGGTGGGAGTCAACACCACCACCACTCTCACTGCCACTGAGCTGGTTCTGACTCCTCGCAACCTTCCCTCAGGCTTCCTAAGGCTGTAAATCTTAACGGGAGGAGAATGCTCCTCTTTTTCCCATCAGGTCTTCTAGCTAGGAGATGAGTTCATGGAGAAGTGTGCCACCAGACCACCTTCTCTCTCTCATTGCTGTCATATTGGAACCAACTCACAGCTGACCTTCCAAGACTGTAACTTGCGTAGAAGGAAATCAACCATCTTTCTCCAAAGAAGCTGCTGGTAGATTCTGAGCACCAGAGAAGTGTGGACTTGAGGTTAGCAGTACAATTCTCTATGCACTATGCCTCTATGCAAATGGTTTGTGCTCAATGACCAACCTAAAGGTCCAGAGGCACTGCAGAAGAAAGATCTGGCGATGCCCTTCTACAGAGATTATATCCAAGAGAATCCTATGGAATAGTTCTAGTTTGTAATCCACGGGTGACATTACTTAACAAAATTGCTCTGTGGTTTTCGGGAGTTTTTTACTTTCCTCCATCACCCACACAAACACACACAATAGTTCTTTTATTTCTTTCCAGAACCAACCTCTCACTATGCTGAATTTGATCAACAGCCTCTGGTTCAGTTTTACTTGGATTTTATTTTTTATTTCTATTTTTATCACTACTACTACACACTTATATCTTTACATCTATCTATCTGCATCTCTCTGTATCACATATTTATATGTTAGTATCTTTTTGCAATTCTTATCATCTCCTTCCACATTATTGACATCGTCAGAAAACTCGCCGGAGGGTCAGCTACGAGTTATTCTGACTAGAAAATACTGAACAACATCATAAAGAGCTCAATGAGAATCTGCCTGCCAGCACAACTGGTTAAATTCTCAGTTGCCAAATGAAATGTCAGCAGGTTGAATCCCCCAGCTGTTCAGTGGCAGAATGATGTGGCAGTCTGCTTACCAAAGAGTTAGAGCCTTGGAAACTGTCTAGGACAATTTGACTCTGTCCTAAATGGTTTTTATCAATGGAAGCGGGCTTATTTTTTTTTTTCTTGTACTGATTTTGTGTTTAAAAAAGGTTTTTTAGGAGCTCAGTAGAAGTAGATTAGTTTTGGTTATCTGTTAGCTTTTTTTTTTTTTACTTTATTTTTAATTGGCTTACATTCAGTAATTCATATACAATATATAATATTAATTATAATTGATCAATGCCTTTTATCACAACATCTCATCAAATCTTCACTACACCTTGCCTCTATCTTCATTTTGTTTTGACTTTTAGCAAGATAATTTGAGCTTTTAGTTTGAAAAGCTGCTGAATCAGACACTATTTTCAAGGTGTTGAAGAGAAAATAAAATGGAAAAGAAGAAATCATGTCAACAGATGATTATTTTTAAAATGCTGGTGCTGAAGGGAAGGCTAAGATCACATGAAAATTTCAGGGAGAAGAGGTATCAAAAGTTTCAAGAAATGAGAAACTTTAGCTTGTTGTTAAGAGATATTTCCAAACTCACAAGAAATATTTTCAAACTCACCAAGGGCTGTCATGCAGAAAGGTTTTAAAGTTGCCCTGTGTATTTCCAAATGGTGACAGCTACAGGTTTAAGCATAATTCAGTTCAATAAGATGAAGTTTGACAAGTCAGAATTATCCAAAAAGTATTCAGTGATGAATGGGGGACTTTTGGCAGGAGAATTAGAGAGGGGATTCCATTACTGGAAGAGTTGCTGAATCCAGTAACTTTTGAAATCTCTCTTCTTTGGAAATTGGATAATTTTATAACAATATTCATGAACATATTACTAATAATAGTTGATTTTAAGTGAATGCTTGTTATATAGCTGACATTATGCTAAATATGTTACACGTACTCTTTGAATTCATTTCCACAACAGACTTGTGATGGTGCCAATCTCTTTTATCTCTGTATTAAGACAAAATGACTAAATAACTAAGATAAAATGACCGGCCAACATTGTGCAGCTACCATCCAGCACCCGTGACAGGACTGTATCACAGATCATTTGACACCAAAATTACTTTTTCTTAAGTTTTTCTTCTGCTTTGGGTCAAAGTTCACAGAGCAAATCCCTTTTTTTTAATTTCTTTTTTTAATGAGATTTTAATGAAAGATTATACAGAACTTGGATTTTCATTCATTCATTGTTGTATTTTTCCTCCTTGCCCACTTCTCCCCCCTCCAGTTTGCTTTTCTCTTTGAGAAAAAAAAATTCTTTCATTGTTATACAATCTCCCCTCCCCGAGTCCACTTTACTATGCAGCTCTTATTCTGAACTCTTGCCATGCAAATAATACCTAATCATATATTCAGTGTTTGGTGGAGCTCCCCAATTAAAACAAGATCGGAAGTAGGAGTGGCATCCACTTTTGAAATAGCTTGCCTCCAGAAATCCTATGAACTTGGAGAAAGGATGGAGGTTATACAAATGTTCAGGTCTTTCCTTCATAGGGTAACTATAGCAATTAACAACAACAACAGTATCCCTCTTAAACAGTTCTCTCCCTTATCTGTTTCAATGTAGCAACTCCCTTTTCTATTCAACAATTCATTCACCTTTTGGTGCAAGGTACTGATTGAAACCCCCACAATGTAGCAGCACTCTCCCCAATTCCTCCCTTTACTATTTCCATTCCTCCTTCTCTCCTACTGTCTCCTGCTCTCTGAGCTTTATGCCTGGGCAATGCTGCCTTTTGATCTTACATGGTTGATTTTTCTAAGCACGTATATCTCTCTTGTGTTACTGTCCACTTTATAGGCTTGTCTTTTGTTTGGAGAAAAGCTGAGCCACAGCGTGGTCTAAAGGGTTTAAATGAGACCAGGGACCACAGTCTGTCTCAAGAGTGCCAACAGCCTCTATCAGTAAGCCTAGCCTTGTGATGGTTGTTGTGGGGGTTTTAGTTTCTGGTTCTGGTTGTTTGTTGTTGTCTGTTTTTTCGTATTTAGATATCAGAATATTAACTCAGTGCTACGCCTTCTCCACACCAGCAGCTGGAGCACAAAGAACCCAGTTACAGAGGCCAGAATGTTCATGTTTACAAGTGCATGTGGAACAACTTATGAGTGATTGATTTTGGAAATGCACTTGCATGGTTGGGATTCAATCAATGAAAAACTTGTGTTCATGTAACTTTCTCCAAGGGGAGTGATTCGACCGTTAAATTATAGAGATCCTGTTCCTGGGCCAAGCTCTGTCCTCACACATCCATGTCCCTGAGCACTTAGCATTTCACGAGCATGAGTATGGTGTCTATCTGGTCAGCTGGGAAGGGTGTGTGGGTTTAGGAGCTAGGATGGGCTTGTTTGGAAGAGCATTTACGGCTTTGCAAGATCTTGGGCAATTGAATCCTCCCTGGGCACCTCTACTTGTTTCATTATTTTGGAAGTTACAATTCATCCAAATCCTGCGGCCAAATAAAGCATGCATA